ACCCCAAGAAAAGAAAATAATTTTTAAAAACTTTGCATCCATACCCCTGTGGACACCGGGAGCAACCAGAGTACTTTCTTGCAAAAGTAAAGATACGTATTTCGTGGAAACCACTCAAGATGGAGATACATGAAATCAAAAACCAACTCTGAACATAAGAAGTGTGGTTACACCAACAAAGTGTAAAATGGGGAAAAGACAAAATAGGGAAAAGAACGAAATAGGAAAAAGGAAGAAAAGTGAATAGTGTCGAAAAACGAAAAATGTGGAAACGACTCGATCCTCAAAGGAAGTTGTCAATCCACAGAAAAGAGTCTTGGAAATCACTCCGGAGCACTCAAGACGATACTAAGCGAAGAGGAACTGAACTCAGAAAGGAAAGACAACGAAAAAAAATTTTCCGTGAAAATCCAGGTCACTACAGGATAGTACTTCTTCAAGAACTCTTGTTGCATTTCTGCCTAAGAAGTTATTAAAAAAGGCCTAAGATTGTTAAACCAATATTTTGCCTTGTCTTTAAGGGTAAGTGGAAAAAGTTTAAGCCTTAATACCTCTTACGGCATGTCCGTATATTTTACGGTGGAACATACTTCAAGAAACTCATCCAAATGCTTATAAGGTTCGTCACTTGGAAGTCCATGATAGTTAGGAAGCATTTGAATGGTTTGTGGCTTAATTTTATAGTGATGTGCTCTAAATGGTGGCAATTGAATGCATGTGGGTGCATTATATTCATTAGGCACATAGTGATCTCTTAAAGCAAGGGGAGGATTAGCAATTGAAGGTGCAACATGGGCACCTTGGTTACCTTGAATGATAGGAGGTGGTGGAGCATAGATTGGCCTTGGCATTCCCAATGGAACTTGGCCTTGTTGTTGTGGTGGATGAACATATGGCCTTGGCATACCTAATGGTACTTACATGTTATCATAATGCACATTGGGGTGGAGGATACCTTGTTGGTCTATGTGACCAAGGTCCTCCACATGGTCCTCATTGTGTCCTTCCATTGATGAAATGGATTGACTAAAACTACCTCTCCCCTTAGGGTTTCGAACAATGGATTCAAGATGAAAATTTAAAGGGACAAGAATAGGTCTCAATGATCTACGACCATGTATGCACAATGCAACACAACAAGCAATAACAACAAACACTTCACCTTCACAACAAATCAATAATTAACAAACTTCCTCCACATACAATGTTCATACTCCCATACTTTAACAAAATGCAAGAAAAGTAAATTGCCTCCACGCGGGCTCACGAGTTATTTAATAATTGAATTATAAGCCTCCACACGGGCCAACGATTTAACTAAGGGTTTGAGTAAAGAAAAGCTCACAAAGGTCCTTTAGCACTTCAACTCCAAATTTATAGCTTAGCTTAGCAATTTTTTTAGATTTTTAGCATTTTTCCTTGCTTGCTTTGCTCATTTGCTTGAATGCTCCTTTGCTTGCTTCCTAGCTCAATGCTCCTTGTCAATCAAGAACAAACACAATGAGTAACAAAAATCGAAAACAAAGTAAAGACACGATCAAAAGAGTACTAATTCCTAATTGATTCTACAAATACAACATTGCCAATCAATCAATCCCCGGCAATGGCGCCAAAAACTATGGTGTCTTCCCGAGTGTTCGCGCAAAACAATGCATAAAACTTTGAGTTTGGAAATTAGTGTCAAGTGGGCACCATAATTTAAATTTATAAACCGCTTAACACCTATACTATGTAGTATGAGTGAGAAGGGATCGTCCCAAGGGATTGAGTTGTCATACTAGTTTGAGGAATCAAAATTAGGGTTAATAGGTCGAGTGATCAAAATAGTGGTTGGTTGGTTGAATTAAACTAGATGTAAATTAAACTAGAGTAAGCAATAATGCAATAGAGAGAATAAAAGATAAAGAGAGATCTTGGATTTTAGAGATCACCACTAATCATAGCTTTTCTACATCTTCAATGAATGATTAATGAGGGGAAGAACATGTATTGCAATGAAGTGTGTGTGTATAGTTGTTTCATCAAGCATGGATGACAAATTAAGCATATATTATCTAAACAACATGGTGGATAACACAACATATCAAATTAAGTCATTAATCCTTTCTTTAAGCTCACAATCCAAACACATCACAAGGTTAGAGATACATGTTACTTGCTTTTCATAAGTATGTAACATCAACAACAAACATGGATTGTCCTCCCATTTAACAACTACACTACAACTAAGCTAATGACATGAAATTAAACTAATTAAACTAAGGAAGAGGCACAATCCATCAAGAAATAAGTATGAACCATCAAATAAACCACAAGAACATGACATTAAGCACTATGTCTTAACAATCTCTAGATCTATAGTATCAACACACATAGACATGCATCAATAACACAAAAAATAGAGACAAACACATGAACGTCTATTCTAACATACATAGACATATGGATAAAATGAAATCATCAATTGGAAGCATTAAACCATATAAATCATTGAAGAAACAAGATCTATATATAAAAAAGTGTCAAGACATGAATCACAATACAAATCCCCTCAAAAATACATAAATCAAGAAGTAGAAAGCATGCTTAGGGCTAACTCTAGCCCCAAGAGGATGTCTAGCCACTCATGGATGATATCCTCCAACCCTCAAAGGCAAGCTCCACGGAAGAAATCTGCTCCTTGGTTGATGAAGAGTCTCCAATGGTGTCTCTAGCCTCTTCCTCTTCTTTGTTTCCTCCCTAAGAGTAGCCTCTCTAATCTCTAAGAATGCTAAGAATCTTCCTCAAAAAGTGTATCATATTCTTTATATAGGTAGGTCAAGTGACACACAAAATGAGTTAGGGTCGTGCATCAAATATTCCCCAATGATTGGATAAGGACAACTTTCAATAAGCTAGAAATTTAACTTTTTCGCACTGGAGGAAGTTCGATCAATCGAACCTTGGACTTGAATCGATCGAACTTGCTGAGATCTATCGAACTGAGGCTGGATCGATCCTCAATGGCGGCGCCTTTTTGGATAAAAACAAATCTGAGATATTTTGAAGATATTTTTGGGAAAAGGACAAAAGTGGTTGGTAGGGTGGTACAACTGGATAAGATCAATCATTTGGATAAAGACAAGAATGTTCGATCGATCGAAGAAGGAAGTTAGATCGATCGAACTTTTGAGATCTTTGAAAAGGGACAAACATGGCTCAGATCTATCTTGAAGTGCTGAGATCGATGAAAGTTGGATCGATCGAACTTTTTTTGAGATCGATCGAAGTTGCTGAAATTCCACCATTTGCTTCCTTTTGCTCTACTTTGTTCATTTCTTTGATTAATCCCAAAATTGCTTCAATTATGCTCTTATTTGGCTGAGTTAGCTTATTTTGGGGATAAGTACCTAAAAATGGAAATAACACGAAATTAATACAAAACGATAAAATAAAGTAGATAAAGGTTCTAAAATACCTAAGCTTAAGGGGTTTAAATACGCACTTTTCAGTGCTCATCATATGCATATATATATATATATATATATATATATATATATATATATTTCATATAAATATTGCTCTACCTGAAATGAAAAAAAATTCTATCAATTGGTAAGATCATAGACGATTGTGAGAGAAAAATCACAGATCTTGTATGGATTAAAGAAATTTGAGGGTTAGAGAGTTCTATCTGAACAGAGAGATGATTGTGAGGAAAGAAGTGCAGATCTGGCTTGAAGAAATCTAAGAAAGGGCTCTTCAAAGAGGAGGAGAATCTCGAGATAAAAGGTCAAAACCCTTATACAACTAATTTAACGTTATAAACGAGATCAGAAAGAGAGGTTGAAGAGAGAGACGATGCATTGCAGAGAGGTTGAAAAGAGAGAAGATGGATATTGCGCGGCTTTGTGTTATAAACGACCGAGAGTTTACGTAGTTGTTATCCGTACTTTTAAGTAGCGTTCAGTTCTACGTGTTTTCCAATTTTGTATCTCAGTGTTTCCAAAACTCTGAAAACAACAAATTGTTGTTCTCTGAAAACCTTTACTCTCTTATCTCAGTTTTCAAAAAACTGTTTTTATAAAACAGATCCAAGCAAACTAATTTTGTAGTTTTCAAAATTTTGTTACTATAAAAACAGAAAACAGTTTTTATAAATCCAATCCAAGCAGGGCTATCCTTTATTTTTTTTTATTTTTGGATTTTTCAAAGGGAGGTATTCGCACTCTACTTTTTAACGTTTACACTATAATATTTAATGAAATGACAATTTTAACCCTAACTTTACAAGTAAATAATTATTACTTTTTAAATGACAAAACTGTCTATTTAGATTTCCTCTCCCATCTCTAATCTTTATTATTTTAGGTCTTTCTTGACAAGATAAAAAATTAATTGAATAATTTTTTTTTTTTTGGCGGTACCAAGAAATAAAAATTTAAGTTTAATAAATTGACTCTTTTGACCGGACCAAAAAAATAACTATTAAAAAAATTATCTCTTTTGATATAAAAAAAATATCCCCAAAAAATACTTATTGAAGAAATTATCTTTTTTGTCAAGATCCCCAAAAGAAAAGGAAAAAAGTATGAAAAAAAGAGGATTCAATTTTTTTTTTATATTTTTTTTTATCTATATTGAATTAATTATCTCTTTTGATAAGACAAAAAAAAAAAAGGTTATTTTTATTTAATAAATCATTTCTTGACCTTAAAAAATTATCTAAAAAAAAAATTACCTCTTTTGATAAATTATTTTTTTTGAGAGGACCTTTGAAAAAAACAAATAGAAAGGAAAAAAAAAAAATAATAAATAAAGTAAAAAAGTAAAAATATATTAAAATTGAATAAATGATAGTTATGACATTATAAATTAAGAAATATTGTATTAATAAATTCATGGGTCTTCTTATAATTTTTTTTAAAAGAAAAAAAAAAAATATAGTGTAAATAGAGAAAAGAGGAATATGAATATCTCCTCCCTCTTCAAAAACGAACGGTTTAAAATGGTCAAGCTCTGAATAATAAAAAATAGAGATGAAATTCACGTTCTAGAGTGTGTTTTATGCGCTGAAGTATATGCGAGGGAAGTAGAGAGAGACAACTCCAACAGGACAGGTAGTCGCAAAGGGGTTCCTCAGATTTGAATCGAGAGCGATCTCAACTTGTCCACTCTCAGGCTACAACCATGGTAGGCCAAATACGATCTTCTAATTCATAGTGTTTGTTATCAATGAAGATCCTTTACGCATATCACATATTGCATCTAATTCTTTCGGAAATTAGTTCAAATCACAAACCCTAGCTCCTCATCTCTCTCACTCTTTATTTGTTGACGGATGGGAGTTACGTTAACAAATATATATATATATATATATATATATATATATATATATATATATATATATATATATATATTAAATTTATCTTACTTATACGCACGATCTGCTTTTCGGTGACCCAATTGAATTCCAATTCCAAGTCTGCATATGAAATATATGATTTTGAGATTATGGATCTATGTTCACTCTCATTTTTTCAGCTGAAAACATAACTAAGTATGTTATGTCCAAATCTGATTGATTATGGATGTTATATGACTATTTCTTTCTTTTCTGTATGTGTTATTTCAATGAATTGTTTCCGTTGCTTTGTTTATTTTCTTGATTTCTTTGATCTTCCTGTCGGCTAGCACTAAACAATTGCTTTTATAGGCTTCTACTCTTTTCCCGAATTTGATCTTTGTAAAACCCAAATTTTGCACTTTTTGTCACGCCTTGTGAATGGTCAAAATTGAGCATAATCTTGAAAATCAGCATAGGTTAAATACTGTTCATGGGATGATTCCAAACGCATGTTTGGCTTGAAATATTTTAAGGCCTTTGGATAAGAAAGCATTACATATTATTATTTATATCAGAGCTACAAGTGGGATTAGAGTCATCAGACTCATGACTTGGGGGTGACCCATCAACTACAAGTGGGATTAGAGTCATCAGACTCATGACTTGGGGATGACCCATCAATATTTATAGGGACTAATCAGTTACATACCTAAGGCTTGAAATCTACAACATTAAATAGAATTGGTATTTTGGTTATATGTGACCAAATGTGATTATCCAGTAAATGAAATTCTAGTCACATATTTTGCAGTTCTTTACTGTTGTAATAATAAAAGGATTTTGTAGTAGTCAAATACAAATGTAACCTAAGCATTTTAGTGTTCTACCATCCATTTTAGTTGTTGAGAAATCTGAGAAAAATAAGTGGAGCAACTTTTTTTAGTCTATGGTGAAGATTTGTATCTATATATATATTTTTGGTTGCTCTTCCTATCTTTTTGTCTGCAATGGAGAAAGGAACATTTTAAGAATGTATAGGGTGCAAGAACACAATAGAGAAGGTACAACAGGTGTTGATGTACTTTTGTATGACATTGAACTGTTAACCTTAAATGAGTTATTTTTGGATGCATGAGACTCGGATTTCTGTTTTAACTTTTTTACCTTATGGTGTAAGCAATGTTTAAAATACTTCAGGCAAGCTACTCATAGTGGGATGTGCAAAATGCAATCATTCCGTGTTTTTCCTGCCTATAGAGTGTTAGGAGAGTAATATTGGAGACAACCCTAAACTTTGGACTTTTTCTTGCACAAAGTGGATGCTCTCATAGTCAACCCCCCGTCCTCATGCTTCTCATGTCCTATTATTTGAAACTAACATGATTTGAAGGTAGGAAACATGTTGTCGGTGGTGAAGTTTCATCCAGTGACCCGATTGACTAGAAATTGAGGCTGAGACAAAGTCCTCTTGTCCAAAATTTTTGTGCAGATATGGAAAATAAGCATAATGCCACTGATTTCCCCACCCCACGCCACAAACATACAGATAAAAAGGAAAAAAAAGAAAAAGAAAAAGAATTGCCATGTAAATTCAGTGGATAATCAGATGTGAAAAAGAGCATTTAAGATAACATTTCTATAGTAAAAATAAAATAAAATATAACTATACATTAAATTAGGGACCTTAAAGTTAGTTTGTGATGTGCAACTGAGAAGGTAACTTTTTCCCTTTTTTTTTTTGTTTTTTTTTTCTTTCTTCTTCTTCTTATTTTTATTTATTTATTCATTAGGGCTTTTTTGATTTAAATCCCACAATTTTGTATAGGTTTTGATATTGGTTCTCTTTTAAAAAAATATTAGAAATTGATCCTACTTTTAGACATGTCTGTTAGTCCACAAACAGAACATTAGCCTTAAGTGCATTTTTTTAAAAATTTCCAAAACTACCCCAATCTAAACTACCCTAGTCACGTTGTTAATTGATAGACAACCTGATTGGATTGTGAGAAAAACATGTAGAACTCTAGCTCTTCCACTTAAAGCTCTTTCTATGAATATTGTTCTGTGAGGCTTCAATCGAGTAACTTTTCTCAATAAAAATCCAGTACCTTTGTTCCCATCACAAGATTTATTTATAAAATATGATGATTATTATTTTTAGGGTAAATTGCACACTCCCCCCCCACCCCGCCGCGCGGTTTGCCTAAAAGACAACCATTTACAACTTGGGGCGAGTGGGATCCAATTGCATTGAACAATCACACCCCAACACCTCTTAAAGTACCCTTTGACTTTTGAATTGACCAATTTGAACCCTAAGATGACCATTTTAACTTTTATAAATAATTTATTGAAATAAAAAAAATTCTCAAGACACATACACATACACATATAGATATACAACACCACCGACCGCCGCCGCCACCCACCACTGCTCACCCCATCTTTCTATCTCTCTCTTCACTCACCACCGCAATTGCCACCCATACAATCACCACCCACCACCGCTCTCTCTTCTTTCTTTCGTCTCTTCCTTTTCTCTTTTATATATATATATATATATATATATATATATATATATATATATATATGTACACACACACACACAAATTTGCGATGAGAAAATGATGGTGTTGCTTTGAGGTTTGTAGTGCCGATAACGATGATGGTGAGATCGGACTTTGTAACGACCCGAATTTGGTGGATCCGAATCATTAACGGGCAATGAAAACAATTTCGGGTCCTTACCCAAACCCGATGACTCACAAGGGTAAAATGACATTTCATACAAGGGAAGGGGATAATGTGGCCTTAAACAGGTCAAATGAGATCTATTCAATCAATTTTAATCATTTGATAATATTCCAAGGGGTTCTAAGGAACTTAGGCATGGTTTCCCACAATTAGGCCTCTTTGGTTTAAGAGATTTCCGCAACAGCTTGCACTAAAATGGTCATAACTTCCTCTACGGTTGGAATTATTGAATGGGTTGATATCATTGGAAAGCTGACTCAAAATCCTTGAACTTAGACTCAAATTTGACACATGGTTTCCCACAATTAGGCCTCTTTGGTTTAAGAGATTTCCGCAACAGCTTGCACTAAAATGGTCATAACTTCCTCTACGGTTGGAATTATTGAATGGGTTGATATCATTGGAAAGCTGACTCAAAATCCTTGAACTTAGACTCAAATTTGACACAATTTGGTCAAGAAATGAAGGAGATATAATTAGTTGAAGTTAGTATGTCAAAGCTGTCCTACGTGAATGGAAGAGGGGGGGGGGGGGGGGGGGGGTTATGAAAAATCAGCTGACCGAAAATGGACTTTCAGCTGGCTGATGATGATGATCAGCTAGCCGAAATGTGTGTTTGGCAACCCTGCATTCTGCCGAGTCCAAAAATGAACTGTCGGTCTGCTGGCTTATATTACCAGACCGAAACACACTGGGAACATAAAAATGGGCCATTTTCAAGGCGCAATGGCCATGGACTCCACCTACATCAATCACACGGCTTCTGAAATGGTCCGGAACATACACAAAAGATGAAACACACAAGGAAATGCTATCCATACATGAGAATATGCCAAAATGATCCAATTTCATTCATAACCCATACTTGTATCATCCCTCGTATACTATAAATTTATAACCAAAAAGTATATGCCCAAAATAATGTACTTACATTACATAATAGACATTCTAGCATTCTTTGACTCTCCTTCTCCATAAATATACATTTAGAAGACTTTTACGACATTACAAAAGACAACGACATGGATATGCTAGATATAACAAAACACATCTCAAAAACTAAGTCCGCCATCTTCTAGTCATTAAAGGGATGGTACCTCCCCCACTTCGCTATCACCTGAAAATGTTAAATAATAGGGTGAGTGACACTTCGCTCAGGGGCCTAAAACACCTCTCCTAAAGATTCGTGAGCAGCACATAAGGAAAGGGAAAAGAGGTAGAGGGATCATGTCCAAGGAGAAGGGAATCCATAAATCCACGTGTTGTAACCACCAAATCAACATCACAAAAATAATATAGCACAACATACAATACACATCATCATACACAATGTCTAATGAATGTCCATGATATGCATACCTCTGCACCCTCCCTTCACCATATACTACCATTTCCACACTTCGTCAAGTACTTAACCTAGCCAAGACTTCATAACACAGATTGATGCAAGCAACCCCCGAATGGTCATAGGTAGCTCCCGTTACCACAAGAACAACAATGCACAGGTAACCCCTGTTGCAATACACAAAACTCATGGGTAACCCCCGTTCCAAACCACAAAATTCACAGGTAATTCCTGTTACACATCACGAATGGTCACAGGTAGCCCCCGTTACCACAAGAACAACAATGCATGGGTACCTCCCGTTGCCACACAAGAAATGAAATTTACATCGAATTCAGCTTCCGTGACTTACGCCTCCCAAACTCACTAGCAACCTCAAATTACAAACCACCACTTTCATATACACTAGCCGCCTTGCTCTTAAACCATCATTCTTACTCACTAGCCACCTTACTTGCACATGCCAATGCACATGAAATTAATGAATAACATACTTAGGATCACCATACAACAATTTTTTTTCATAGTTGGTACTCGCACACACTTGTCTCATCTGAGACTTGAACCCCTGACCTCTCTTTGGGAGGTAAGAGGCTGATACCGTTAGGCCACTGGCCGTTGGTAATCACTATACAACAATTTAAATTATCATTTTACAAAATTGTCACAATGAATATAATTTCAACAATTTATTCAATGAACAACATTTCATGTAAAAGTATTACAAGCTTCCATATAGGTATATTG